AGCTGTCCTTGGCATCTGTGATTGCTGTCTGCTCGTTAGGAGAACAGGCATTGCTTCTGGATGTTACAGATGGGAGGAATGAAGATCCTGGACTTTCTGCAGTACCTGCTCTCACTCAAAAATGCAGTTGTAGTACTCTTACTAGGTAATAATAGTTATAAAGAACTTCATTGATTAATTGAGGCCCTAACTAATCATAAAGCTACATGAAGTTCTATCAGCAGATGCTAAGAAACGTGAAATTCCTGTGACTGTAACTTCCCCTAGGAATGTCCCAGCCAGGCAGTGCCTGCATTGCACCATTCTTCTCTTCTATTGCATAACAGGCCACCAGCATCCTGCTGTGATCTGCTCCAGCTGTTGGAGATTGTCACTGTGCTGAAAATCCACTTCCTTGCTCCCCAGTGATTCAGATACTGCTCTTGGGAAGTGCTGGTGCTTCAACTGGTTCTTACCCACACTTTGCCTTTTATACAGCGCTCTGTCACTGCATTGCAGTTTTGAGTTTCTCTTTTATTCAGTCTTTCAATAACAAGTGGTAACAGAACTGTCTTTAATCATTGATGTATAGAGTAGGTAGCCTCAGGAATAATCTTCACATGTCTCTTTTTTAGCAGTCCCCAAGTGCTGGCTTGCTCCAGTGACCAAGGACATGGGATTCTTTTGAAATACTTCTCCTAAAATATATCTTTCCTGCAGTCATGTTTAGAAATGTAGAAACTTTCCATGTTATCTGAGATGGAGAAAGAGGAAAAATATTCCTTGAATTGGTTTAAAGTTAAGAAGAGGTTTAGCTTGAGCTTCAAGAGAGACTTCCATTACTTTCCTCAGCTGATTGGCTATCTAAACTTGTTTCTTTCTATCAGAACCTTAAAGCTGCCACGTATATTTTTACAGGTGCTTAAGATGTTATGCCGTTAAATTGCGCACAATAATTCACCTTCAGTTGCAGTCATTTTCTCTCACATAATAAGGCTGTCATAAATTGTCCCTAACAAAGTAAATAAATCTCTCAGTCCTCACCATGCACCATGATTAAATTTCAGTCCTTTAAAATAAAGATGAATGCATTTAGTAACTGCAAATAACTAGAACTGCCATCCTTAAAAATATGGCCTCCTTGTATAGAATCTGAACTAGAGAAATGCATTTACTTTTAACAATGTGAACATTAATCATCTGGCAGAAGCAGCATACAGAGCACATAAAAGTTGACCATGGAGTGGAGCTGTATTCAACACCTCCAGGGACAGAAAAGAGAAGCGTAACAAAAGGAAGAGAGAAATAGAATGCAGCTTCATGAGATAGGAAAGCACTCATGATATGTGCACACTGCTGACAGCCATTCTGTGCTCATGAGAATCTTTTGCAACACAAGTGTTTAATTATTTGCATTAGTTTGGCAATTTATTTTATTTTATTTTATTTTTATTTTATTTTTATTTTATTTTATTTTATTTTTTTAAGTGGTCTCCCCAGAGGAGGGCCCCAAACATGATCTGAGGGCTGGAGCAGCTCTCCTGTGAAGAAAGGTTGAGGGAACTGAGCTTGTTTAGCTTGGGGAAGAGAAGGCTCTGGGGAAACCTGATTGTGGCCTGCCACTATTTGAAGGGAGCATACAAAAAGGAGGGGAAGCTGCTGTTTACGAGGGTCAACAGTGATAGGACAAGGGGGAATGGTTTTGAACTGAGACAAGGGAGGTTCAGGTTGGATATTAGGAGGAAGTTTTTCAGCCAGAGGGTGGTGAGGCACTGGCACAGGTTGCCAAGGAGGCTGTGGATGCCCCATCCCTGCAGGCATTCAAGACCAGGCTGGATGTGGCTCTGGGCAGCCTGGGCTGCTGGTTGGCGACCCAGCACACAGCAGGGGGTTGGAGCTGGATGAGCACTGTGCTCCTTTTCAACCCAGGCCATTCTATGATTCTGTGAATTTCTTTGACCTACGTGCTTATAAGAGGAGCAGCACTGTAGGCTATTTGCTGTACAGTCAAGGAAGTCATGCAGTAAGAAAACACGTATTAGCTGTAGAGCTCTATAACAGCAAATCAGGCTCCAACTGTAGCTGATGCTCACTATTCTGGAATGTGATCCATCTCGGTTCCTGATGCACAGCAGTGAGCAGGACAGAGCCCTTGGTGGTGCAGAGGACACTAGAATGGCAGCAGCCAGTGGCTGGAAAAAAAGAGACTGGTCTAGTACCAGACCTCAAGATTGGTGGCCCTGCCTGTGGCAAGGGGTTGGAACTAGATGATTATTGTGGTCTTTTTCAACCCAGGCCATTCTGTGATTCTACATAATGCAAACACCAGTGCAATTTCATTTTCATGTCTTTCTTTCCACTAGGATCATAAGGCTTCTCAGTTAGCCTTGTGTGGAATCTGGTATTTTTGGCAATCCATTTGCATGAGAGATAGAACAACACTCTGTGTTGTGCTGTTCTCCATGTGTAATTAAATGGTTACTTTTAGAGGACCCTGAAATCTTTTTTTAACAAAATGCTTGTGACATTTTATCTGGAGATTTTCTGGGCATAAAGTGTTCTGTTGTTTTTTTTGATTTTTCTCCTGGTCATACTTTAAAATGTTTATCTAAGACAGAAAATCTGTAGTATTTGGTTTCCATTTTGTCATTTTGTGAATGATGAAGTCTTGTGTGGTGGACAATCACAGACCAAAAAAATCCTGTTCTTTCAGAATACTAAAAGTACTCTTGATTTAAAGCTAAATCCTATTGGCTCTGTGGTTAGGATAAAAAAACATGATGGTCTTTTATGGCCTCTTCAAATGAGCAGATTTCATGAAGCTAAAAAATTTATTAGACTGCAATTGAAAGGCAGTAGGAAATCCCAAGGGAAGAGCATAGTTCTCAGGTCCACTCTTTAGAGTGCAGTAAAGTGGATGTAGAAGATTCCCTGATCTGAGTAATAATACACACATTTTGAGATATAATTGACTGCCAGAAGTGATGATAGAAGTAAATCAGCCTTGCTGTATTTAACAGCTATTTTACTAGACTAAACATGTTCACAGTTGCCTTTCTCCAAAAGGAACAGTGCTTTTTGAAGGTGAATGTAATCTTAAAATACAGATCTTCAGGAGGTACAAAAGATGTGCTTCTTGAAGGAATTGGCATATTTACACATTTGCATTTAAAATTTGGGTCCAAAACTCACTGTCAGATGTCTGTATCTTTCCAGCAGTGATCACAGTATCTACTAAAACCTGCATTCAGAGCACTGTCAGCAACAAATCTTGTTGCAGGGTTTTCTGATGTGCAGAGAAAGCTGCCCCATTATTGACTTCCAAGCCCTCACTATTGCAAACGCTTGCAGATACCAACTGTACACACATGGACGGCATTTCTCATTCGGGGCAGCTGTTAACTTGCATATATGCCCTTAGACATGGGCTGAAACCAATCTGTTTCTTGTTTGTTTTGTTTTGTTTTGAATTGCTGCTTTAAAAAAGAGCATTTCAGTCCACAGTAAAACACATAGCATGTGATGTTCTTTTAATATGGTAGGTAATTAAGTGTACAACTAACCACAGAAGTTAAAAATATAACTGGTTTTATTTTAATCAAAACTGATAGTTCTTTGTTTTTCTTGTCCCAGTTTCATTCTAAGAACGATATGCAGTGTGTCTGAAGTGCAACTTCAGAAGAAGTATCTTTACAATTTGAGTCAGGCTTCTCTGTGGATCAGTATAGGTACAGCCGAGCTAAATTCGGTCTCTGTACTGACTGGCAAACATATTTATCTTTCTGTTAAAAAAAAAAAAAAAGAGAGAAAAAAAAGAAATCATTTTTGATCGTCCTATTTCAATATTTTTTTATGTGTACGATGAAACAGAGTCACAGAGCTTGCTGGAAGAGGAATCAACAGCACCTATAGCAATCCACACTATAAATTAAGTTCCAAATATCTACAAATATTGTGGTTGTACCTCTGTTACAAATGTGGGGAGCTTCTATGTCACAGCCTGATTGGATAGGAAAAGCTGAAAATTGTCAGCATACAATTGCTGTTATAAGTCTTTATCCTTGCGTGGTGTGTTGTATATAGTGTGTGCTGTTATCATTGCTGTACTGGTAACTCTATGGAAAGACCTGGAAATGTGACAAGAAAAGCTTTTTTTGTACTTAGATAAGGTTGCTAAAAGTTGCCATGTTGAGAGTTTTCTTTCTCTGAAGAGAACCCATGACACCACAGTTGTGGTATATAATGGAAGTAGACAAGGGGAAATTAATACACTGCAGTTTTACTTTTTCTCCCAAGTTTTCACATGATAGCATCTCTCCCTTGCAGTTAACACAAACCATTCCAAGAACTCCGTCACTCAGTGATTTAATACCCTTCAGTAGTAGGTGATGTAGTCTTGAGCCTTTCCTTGATCTCAGCTTTGACAGGTTTAATCATTTCCAGAGTATAATCAAGAGAGACCGCGTATATAGACACCCACCTCTACCTGGTGGCATTAGTGAAGCACAATTTTGCCTGTTTGCCATGTCAAATGCTTGAGAATAGCTTGCACACTCCTTATATCCATTTAAGCATTAACAGAATGTTCATGTATTGATTTTAGAGTGTCTTAAACCACTCACATGAATTACAATATGAGCATTGGAGCATTTGTGAGTCGTCCAAATGGGCATTGATCTTACATAATGACCTTGCTTCCACAAGGATCATTCTCTTTTTCCTTTCCTTCTGTTTTTCTCTCTGGTTTGCCTTCCCAGTGTGTAATGTATTACATTAAGATTCAGTCTCCTGTCTTCCAATGTGCCTTAAACATTTTTGTTGAAATAAAACAAAGTAATATTCCACACGCTTGCCCTGAATTAAGCATTAAAGTCATAATAGCATTATTTCTCATTCAAATCAATGTAAATGAGAACACAGGCAGGTCAAGGGAGTTTTCTTTATCATAGAATCACAGAATTGTAGGGGTTGGAAGGGACCTCCAGAGCTCATCGAGTCCAACCCCCTGCCAAAGCAGTTCCTACAGCAGGTTGCACAGGTCGGCATCCAGGCAGGTCTTGAACATCTCCAGAAAAGGAGATTCCCCCACCTCCCTGCAGCCTGTTCCAGTGCTCCTCACCTCACTGTAAAGAAGTTCCTTCGCACATTGGTGCAGAACTTCCTATGCTGCAGTTTCCGGCCGTTTCCCCTTGTCCTGTCTCCACTCACCACTGAAAAGAGTCCGGGCCTCGCCATTCTGCCCCCCACACCTCAGATACTTACAGACCTGAATCAGGTCCCCTCTCAATCCTCTTTTCTCAAGGCTGAACAGACCCAGTTCACTCAGCCTTTCCTCATAGCAGAGATGCTCCAGGCCCCTCGCTGGACTCTTTCCAAGAGATCCCTGTCTTTTTTGTACTGGGGAGCCCAGAACTGGACGCAGTGCTCCAGATGAGGCCTCACCAGGGCAGAGTAGAGGGGGAGGATCACCTCCCTCGACCTGCTGGCCACGCTCTTTTTAATGCACTCCAGTAAGCCATTGGCCCTCTTGGCCACAAGGGCACACTGCTGGCTCATGGCTGACCTGTCATCCAGCAGGACACCCAGGTCCCTCTCCGCAGAGCTCCCCTCCAGCAGCTCATCCCCCAACCTCTACTGGTGCATGGAATTATTCCTCCCCAGACGCAAGACTCTACACTTGCTTCTGTTAAACCTCATCCAGTTTTTTTCTGCCCAGCTCTCCAGACTGTCCAGGTCTTGCTGAATGGCAGCACAGCCTTCAGGCTGTCAGCCAATCCTCCCAACTTCGTATCATCAGCAAACTTGCAGAGGGTGGCCATTATCCCCTCATCAAGGTCACTGAAGGTGTTGAACAAGACCGGACCCAGCACAGACCCCTGGGGGACACCGCAGGTTGCAGGCCTCCAACCGGACTCTGCACCACCAACGATGACCCTCTGCGCTCTGCCAGTCAGCCAGTTCTCAACCCACCTCACTGCCCACTCATCTATCCCACACTTCCTCAGCTTTGTTATAAGGATGTCATGGGGGACAGTATCAAATGCCTTGTAGAAATCAAGGTAGACTACATCCACTGCTCTTCTTCTGTGAGTATATAAACAGCCTGAATGGGAACAGACTGCAGACCCTCAGCCCATCCTAAATACAGGATACTTTCTCTTTTGAGGTTTAGCAAAACTCAGCACTTCATTGTTGCATCTTTAAGTATCCTGCAAAAGGTCTGCAGCATGAATCTCAGTTTCTAGAGCACTACAGAATAAATGCAGCAGGTTTCTCCAAACTCCTCAGGCTTCACACAAGTGTGTTGGGGAGGAACGGGTGCCCCACTCCAGCTGGGTGGCACTGCTTGCTGCCATTCCCTAGGGTGGGCTGAGGTGGCCTTTCTGCCTCCTGCGAGGTCTTGTTGCTGCTTTCTGTAGTCTCCTGGTAGTGCTACTGAGTGCCTACACAAATATGTGCTCATTGGCAAGAAAGCAGCATGGATATGCTTTATTAAAAATGCTGGAAGTCCACTAAGTGGCCAAGATGATAGAACTTAAGCTGTGGCCTGAAGTGCAGTGTGAGATTATTGCTGATTCCTCCCGCAGTTTGTGCTCGTGTAAACGATTCCTGGCTCACAGAAGAGCAGAAATGCTGCAGTTACTTTGGCATTTTTTTCCTGCAACTTCCTGTATTGTGTGATCTGAGGGCTGTCTTTGTGTTATTGGTCAAATTCACATTTAATTGCAAAGGTAAAATGTTGACTTAGGTTAGTGCAAAAGGCAATGCAGAATTTCACGTACAAAATTACAGGCCTTTGTTAAAAATCAGACTCCCCCAAGCACAGCTCTGATCACTGGGCACTGAATGGGATTGCCACCACTTCTTCCTCTTATTCAAAGACTGAGAAGTTCATAGGAAGATTTAGAAAGATCTTTCATTCTGCATGTTCACTGCAGGGTGTAAGTAAGTTAAAAACATGTCCAGGCAGGGACATGAGCCAAATTAAACCCAATTAATTTACTATAGTGCTCACACGTTTATTTAAATCTGCCTTTCTGTATTACTGTCATCAGGAAGAAACTGCCTTGAACTAAGTCTATTTTTCTTTGGTCAAATAAAGCATCTTTCTTTCTGAATTACAGTAGCCACACTGTATCCACTGAAGGCTGTGTCAAAGAGAGCTTAAATTTTCATCTCCATTGCAGTAGTTCTGTTTGGCTTTTCTTCTTATCTTTCCGCATGTAGACACAGCATCACAGCCGACAGAAGTGAACCCAAAGGGGCTGACCTTGACAGTGTGATGCAAACCCTGTCTGTGCTGTCTAGCGCCTGGTGCTGCCTGTTCTTTTTGCCTTAGCTGAATCACAGGGATGTGTGTTGTAACAGGAGCTGGTATGGATCATTTATAACTAACTGGGACTGCTTTCGTACACGTAAGACCAGAGGCAGCATGATAGGTACATTTATTAAAACTCAGAAAACAGAATTTACTTTTTTTTCCTTTTTTTTCCTTTTTTTTCCTTTTTTTTTTTTAATTCAAGGTTTTATGGAGCTATATTTATTTCATGGGCTGCTGTGCCCATGTATTTTCAGATACTTATGTCCACAACAAGGCACATGCAGGCCTGAATGCACCTGTTCTTTCCTTTCTTCTTAGAATGATAGTGTCCAATTGCAATAGAAGTATCTATTCAACTTCTTAAGTCAGAGTTAATAACACACAGAAAAGACAGGAATATGAGAGCAAGCAAGCGAGACGTGCTGATCAGCTTGGTATCATAGAATCACAGAATCCTTAGCATTGGAAGGGACCTTTAAAGGTCCAACTTCCCTTCAATGCACAGGGACACCACAGCTAGATCAGTTTACCCAGGGCGTGATCCAGCCTTGCCTTGGAAGTGTCTGAGGATGGGACAACAGCCAGATGACTGGGCAGCCTGTTCCAGTGCCTCCCTACCCTTACTTTGGAAGACTTTTTCCTTATATTTAACCTAAATCTACCCTCTTCAAGTTTGAAGCCATTTCCCCTTGTTCTATCTCCTCAGACTCTACTTGAATTTACCATATAAATCTTGAAAGGATTCCGTTGGTTTTAAGGAGCATTTTATAGTCTTTTTCTTTACCTTGACAAGAGGAAAAGAGACAAAATCCCAGATTTTGCAAAAGAAACAACTGCCCACTACGCTTCTGTGACATAAATTATGCCTTTGGTTTAAAAATGCACTGTGGCACTATCTAGTTTTTAGTGTACATTCCCTACTTGTACTGCTCTTGGAAGAACAGCTGGCTACTACTATGTAGCTGGACTACATAGGAACTCATGGCCGTAGCACAAGGAGCTTTTCTAGTAGATCTATCTAAAGTATAATCCTTTGAGAATCGCTTATTCTTTTGCCATTTCTGTTAAGGAAGTAGGAATAGAAGGAGATATTTAATTCTGAAAAGCCAAAAGACTACAGTAATTTATTTTAAATTTAGGTAAAAGTACTTTTTGCCTTTGTAGATGAGTATCTTGGATCTCTGCACATCAGAATTCTTTTTAACTGTTGCTTTCAATTAGAAATAGTAAGGTTGAAGAGGCAACTCCATTTAAAATATACAGGTAGAGAAAAAAATTCTTTTCAACTAAGCAAGTAGGAAAAGTCTGAATGTTGCATTGGAAGTTTCACATGTACAGTGGAATCCCCAGTGTATGTTTTAATTGGCATTTAATATCTAAGCTCCTCTGAGTGAAATCCCAGTTGCTTGTGAAAAGCTGCTGTTTAACAACTACCTGGTGTTCTTAAGGTAGAAGGTCAAAGTCCATTACTGAGAAAATAATTAAGGGTTTGGTCCTCAACTTGGCTAATTTGATCCAGTTCCTCTGAAGTTAATGGAGTTTAACTGATTTACATGAGCTGGTAAGTTACCTTTAGCTCCTTGGTTTGTGAGTAAAATAATTTTCTTCCTTCCTGAGAGCAGAACTTCAGTTATTAGCTAAGAAGATCTTCGTAATCTTTAAGAAATGTTCCACAATGGGATATCATGAAGAAACTGAATGGTATTATTCAACTACAGGTGCCTCCCAAGAGGGAGGGACAGAGATAAAAGTGAAGGTGTGTTGACTTTAAGGTGCCTGTAGGGTGAACTTTTCATGCCTTTGATGAGTTGAATAACACAGTGCAGGATGGACAGGGCTGCTGCTCCTAATCATCCATGTGTACCTTATGTCGATGGATTGCCATTGTGCTGTTGTTATATGCACTGCCCTCATACAAACTAAATGCAGGTAATGTCTGTGTACATTTCCTCCAATATCAACTGGAAAAACAAAGTTTCATGGAAGATCAGACTGGGTGTTCGAAGATGCTGCACTATGTTATTCCAAACATCACAATACTTAACGTCTCATTTGCTGAATAATACTTGAGTTCTTAATAATGTATGGGATTACCATAAATCCACTAACGGGTAGTATCTGTGAGAGCTGCTGAACGAATTGAAGAGTGGGATAATTCGAATGTAAGCATGCATTAGGAAGGGATTTAAGGGAAAAAAACTGTCTCAGTGTTTTCTGCTGCACTTTGATGGAAGTAGATTTTTGTTCGGTAGGAAGCATTCAGAGTTACGTTCTTAACAGTGGTAGCCAGATCTAGTATGAGAAGGTATGGTTTTATAATCAAAGAAATTTCTCTGTTCTCTTTGCCATACATTTAATAAATGTGAACAAACTTAACTCTCCCATATCCAAATTACCCAACAGTAATTTACAAATAACAACTAACTGAAAATGCTTTCTGATGAAAAATTACAGCCTTGTTTAATTTTGATGTATTCAGCATGTTCCAACATGAACGAAGTGATTGCTGTAGATAGAGATGACAAATAGCAGTCTGGTAATGAGGGTAATTAGCTGGTGTCCAGGATAGAGGGCAACTTCAGCCATTTAAAGTGCGACCTGTTCTCAGCAGTAGGAGTGTTGACCCCACTGCAGATCTTCTTTACCTCTCCTGCACTCTATGAAGACACCACTCAAAGAAAAGCATATCGTGTGTGTTGTTTTCCCAGATGGGTAGTGGCCAGGACAAGCCCTATCCCTGTCCCCCTGCATGAAGGGGACAGTGTGAATTTTGGTGTTTCAGCTTTCCCGTGATTGCCTGAGTCCAAGTTTTCTGTAGATCAGTTATTATATAAAATAAAATGAAGGAAATTCAGAGTACAATCAAAGATAGTTGAATAACAAAGCTGGGAACTTGTTTGCACATTTTATTCTTTTTAGTCCTACCAAAATAACATGTCTATACTATTTTGGCTAATGCATCTTCAGCAGAAAAAATTAAATTAGATTTAAAACTTTTAAAGTTTGGATCAAGAGAACACACTAACTGCCACATCATAATCTGCATTTATAGCACAGGAAGATAGAAAATGAGCTTGTAACTGAATCTGAGTGAAGAATCCTAGAGACAGTTCACAGAGTTCCATAATACCGTTTTTTGGGAAACGGATAATTCGGATACAGGAGGTGCAAAAGATGATCTTCTCCAACTGCAAACGTAATTTATAAAACTGCAATATTTTCTTACAAAGACTCGAAGAGGGAAAAAAGCATAAATGTGTAGTATACTGTTCTGGGAAACTGTAGGAGAATCTGATCTAACTGAAACACGAAATTTTCTGCACGCGTTATTCCAAGTGATGTTGCTCGATGACCAAGAACGTCATCACAATTCACAATTTCACAGTTGTCAAATAATGTTCAATAGATTTCTTCAGATATTGACATTTCACAATTATCAAGTAGTGTTTAATAGATTTCTTCAGATTTTTCTATTAAAATAAGTATTTTTTACTTATTAGTTGTCTCATAGCAAGATAAAGCTGGGACTACAACCTGCGGGCTGCACTCTTCCCTGCTCCTATCAGTGCGGCACAGACTTGCCCACCTGCATGTGCCACGGAATGGCTGTGCAGATCCTGACTCATGTCCCTTTGGTAAACTCTTCTGCTACATTTTTTCAGGATTTCAAAAGTCTTAACTTCTAACAGATGGATATTGTGTAAGTCTAAAGGATTTTATCTGGGAAAGAAAATACCGAATTCTTGTTCAGTAGACTTGGACGGTATGATCTGCCAGGGCCCACTGGCCCAATGCACAGATGGAGTCATCATTATGAAATTCAGTCAGTATGACAGAAGTTTCAGATAGAAGCAATTGACAACATCTATTTCTTTTCAATTCTGACTCTGTTAGAAGGTCAAACAAGCTTATGTAATCCATGAATAGCAGAAAAATACTGTTGCAAAAATTTTATAGCGTATCATTAAAATTAATCAGGCCATATTAATTTCTCAGGCCCATTCTGCAAGAAATCAGTGTTTGTCAAGATCCTGTGTTTCTGGTGATAGCAAGGAGAAGGAAAATACCTGAATAATGGTTAAAAAATTGCTTATTTAAAAGATAATGCTCTGACTTTCTACGATGACAGCTTAATAGCCTCTAACTGATGCAATAGAAAGCAGTCACAGACTTACAGCAAAGACACACACACAGACAAAATACTACGTAGTGCAGAAAGCAGTCCTCTTAGAAAAAAAAGGAAGAAGAATATCATCAAACATTAGCACTTAAATATCAACGCTCTTGTTGTTGTTTCATATTCCTATTTGTTCCTTAAATTTCACAGTCTTTGCTTGGAGTGGTGTTTTCACAGCACCGTGTGTGTGTGTGTCTGCAGCCCCGTAGTGACTCCACAGTTTTTCTGGACAGATTTAATTTTCGGAGTAATAGTCTCTTCTTCTTAGAGATCTGGTAGAATTAACTGTATGGTCCTAATAATTATGTTTTATTACATACCATATTCAGGGAACAGTTTTCGGTACCACTTGGTCACTTCGGCTTGTTTCAAGGGTTCCTCCCACCTCTGGAGACCTTGTGGAGTTTTCTCCTCAGAGATGAAGTTTTATTCATTCCAAAAGACTTTTTGCATCGAGTTTCAGAACTTTCTGGTACAGTGCTCTTCATTTCAGGGTGCCCTGAATTCCCTTTCTCTTGCTATCTATCATTGCTATCATAAATACTAGGATATTGTTCACCCTGGTGGAGTCCAGCTTTTCGGTGTGATAGTAACACTAGAGGCAGCTCTCACAGCCCTGCTGTCGGGTCAGCGCAGGTCTTTTTAGTCTCACGTGACCTAAAGCTAACTCACCCTCTATCTGTGTCAGCCTGGCTGATCACAATGGTTGCGGTTGGGCCATTCAGCAGCATCCTGCCAGATGCTTAACTGGAAAGGCTCTGGCAGGTGTGAACTCTCTCTTTGGCTACATACTCCTTTAAAAATATCATCAGCTTCTGGAGTTTTCATCAACAAATCTCTTTGAGCACTGTCTTAATTACAGACTGTTCCTCTTTTTGTTTCATTTGAATGCAAATCCTCTTCCTGAAGGTGGAAATGTCCAAAGCCCTCACTTCTGCAGATCAGGGTTCAGGTTTCAGGAATCAAAAGAAAACAGATGTGCCAAGCCTAGAAGAAATTAGGGTGCTTAAAATGCCTTTGAATTGTAATATATCGTGGGCAACATAATGTTAATAGTGCTGTGCATTAATTAGGAATCAGTTGCATGTATGTGCTGTGCCCTACAATAATATGTCAGCTATTAATTGGATACTGCAGTTTTCATATATTGGAAAGAAAAGGATCTGTCCTGTATACTGAAGTAATCTTCAAATACTTTGAAAGAAACCAGCTATATTCATAACCATTCTTACTGAGCCCTCAAAAGGAGCTCTTCTGATAAAGATGCAGTGCTGGCAACAGATCTGCTTCAGGACTAAGTAGGTCAGTAAGAAATTGCTAAGTCAATACTTGAAATAATTGAATAGTTTAAACCAGAGGACAATAATTGAAAGATTCAGCCTTCTAAATCTTTGTACAGTAAGAGTGTCAGCATGACTGAAATGACAAAGGCTGTTCCTGGGAGATCCTCCTTCCTGAGACATGAATCAGGAAGCGTATCTCCCAAAAGAGAGCTGGAGATTTGAAAGGGATTTTCTTAATGAATGTCAGTATAAACAGATGGCTTTGTTTCCTGCCCTCACACATACCTGAGGCACCCTGAGGTTTGTATGGATTTTTAATGGAGAGGTGGTGCTTATAGTTTTGGCCAGGCAGGTCTGTTTTCTACCCTTTTTTTTAAACTTGGATATCGTTTGGGTTTCTAAGTGCACTGGTAATACATATGTCAGGAAGAAAGTTGAAAAGAATAATTATATATATATACTAACGTAATTTAGTTTTCTTGGGTTTGGTTGCCACATTTATGGATATACATGTAGTCCAACATTTTTCTTACTGTCTCTGTATTATGTCATGTACAGCATGTTTCAGCTAATCTGGGCTTCAGAGGGAGAAACAGTAATGAGTTCAAATGGAAAGCAGTTCCTCTGCTTTATGATGAGCATTTAACGTGCTGCTGCACTGCTCTCACTGCTCAAACCGGTGAACTTTGTTCCAGCAGGCAGTGAGAAACTGAGCGTGGTGGGCTCCAGATCAGAAAATCTACCCCGAAGATTCAGAATCAGTTACAAACCATGAAGAGTAAGTATCCTTTCTGTTTACTGAGAGCATAGAAATGTATAGTATATAAATGCATAGAAAGCATTATTCCTGTAGCATCTTGACAGTTAAAAGCAAGGACAACATACAACAGCCAATTAGGGAACCTGTTCATTTCGGAGCGCTGCTAACAACTCATGGCCACATGCTACATTTCTTTATACACTTCAGTGGCATCCTGGCCTTTCTACTAGATTCGTACCAGAGAGGCACAATCAAATGTTTTAACTAGTTTGCGTGGCCCAGAGGGCTGCTCTTCTCAGTGTACTGGGCTGAATCTTCCTTTATTTTGGTAACTAGCCATTAACAAATGATTACAACAGATGAACTAGTGCAGTAAATGTCTTAGCTATTGATACCATAAGACAGATAACAGTGTTTAAAACATAAATCTTTTAAACTAAAGTAAAATATGTTACCAAAATTATATCCAACGTTTATTTTCCATAACAAATGGAAGGAAAAAAACCTTTCCTGTGAAAGTAATTTCTTTCTCAAACTTAAACATATCAGGTTCTAATAGTGGGAAAATAACATGTGCTGCTAGCATATTGTGATTATACTCAATTACTGCTTTTTTCTCCATTTTCCAAACCGTTGTAAAAAGAAATTTGTTCTATTTTTGTCAGCACTGCAGGCAGACTAGTCTAAGCGAATTCATTTTCACTGATTTTCACAGTCACCCGTAAACAAGATTTATTAAAATAATTAAGGATTTTGTAATTTGTGCAGCATTTAACTCAGAATTTGAAGGTGTCAGAAGTACTAATATACTTAGAATTGATTTGTCTTTAAATTAGGAAGGACTTGCAGATATTGCTACTTCCTAATGGAATCATCATCAATTCTTAACCATTGAGTTCGTGCTTATTTTTGGAGAGTGCATATTTGAGGGAAGAACTGTGACATTGCTCTGGGGAGAAAAGCAACCTGATACAGTCAGCATGCACGGAAATGCCACACTCAAATTACATCTTGCATTTTTCTGTGCTAATCAAGAATTTCCTTGTTAGAGCGCAGAAGTTAGAAAGGATGCTGTCCAGAAGTGCTGGGCTGCCACCCCTGGGCTCAGGGCATTTCAGTTTGTGGAACTGTTTGATCAGATGTTGGCTGACATCACAGCCTTCTAACACTTTTCCTGTTAACAAATCCCTCATTCTTACACACTTGTTACTGCTGTTCTAAACCTACCACATGAATTGTACCCTTCTGCCAGCAGAGCAGTGCTCACTTCATGTCTTCCCATCTAAGCAAGGAGGAGCATGCAGATCTCTCTGCTGCTGAGCCACAGTGTCTGCCCTCTGCTGAGGGTTTCTCCTCTCCCATAGATAAGAGGGAAGCCACACCAGTCCCTCTTTTCAATACAGGAGGCTGCAGGGATGAAAAAGCAGCAAGATGCACCAGCCCAGTCGGTGTGTGCTGCAGAGGAGTACCAAGCATGCAGGGAATAGGAACAAGGGCTCAATTTCCCCCCACACCCTGGCAGCCTCCTGCATCTCTCTTAGCAGCTACAGATCTCAGCTGCATTTTGAAGCTGTGCCTCTGATGAGTTCTTGCAGCATCACAGCTTTGCTCCATCTCTTCTGTCTGCCTGGAGTGACAGTCTGTCCTTGGGCAGAGCTGTGCTTTGGTCAGTGGGAGGTTCATTTAGTTTGATTTTCTTGGGATTTGATTTTTTTTCCTTTTTACTCTGTTACGTCATTTGCTGTATATAAATCAACCTAATATTAATTAGAATAACTAATGATGGGTTCTATGGGTTCTCTGAAAAAAAACCTGCTTTTAGAGTGACATAATTGGTATGAAACTATTCTCTCCGAAGTAATGCAGTAACAAATTAAGGCAACTGTTGCTAATTCCTCCTTGTATGTATTCAGCTCCGAAAGCATCTTCCTTAGCAGTGTTGGATTTCTTTTTTACCTCCCAGTAGCATTTGCATCATTACCTTCCTTTCTACCCTTCTATGACCATCTTGCATTTTTCTGTCTTTCTGTGACTCCCTGCATCATGTTGTTTTGGATTCAGGTTTATCAGTAATTAAAATGTCTGCAACAGTTACACTGATTTTAGGCAAATTGATAACACAATTCTAGAAAGTCAAACAACTGTCTTTGCATTTCTGTAATGGACATGCAAGTTGAGAATAATCTTGGTGAATTTCTATTTATGAAGTAAGAGCCAAAGTAATAGCTGAGATTGTTCCATCAGCAGTGATTGTCCTCATCATGAAATCTCCATTGCTGAAGAACAGAGGAAGCTGTACGGTTTTTAAAAATTCATTTCTAAACATATAGAGCAGAAGTGCTGAAAGGCACTCAGAACCACATGGAGCAATTGCTTCCCTGCTGAAAAAAGTATTGGCTGCTTTACTACTCATTATTTTACAGATTGCTTTATAATCATGGTTAAGAGAATTGGACCTGGTGCATAATGTATATTCTTTAATGCTGTAATTGTGTCCTGTTGATTTTCACTCTACTGTCTATTCAGCCTCTTGCATTGAATTGAATATTTTTATGAGCAACCTCATCTGATCAGTAGGTTTCCCTGAAAATCTGGTGGGATCATTGTCTGATGTCACTGAACTGCCTCTCCTCGAGTATCCAGGTAATCCCGGTGTATGCACATATGAAAAATACTGAGTAGTTCTTAAACTCATATATTTTACATTACTGAGCATAGCAAAGTAAAATTCAGTGTAATATTTTACACTGTTTAAGAATACAGGGAAATTTCACTCATTCTTGTAATAAGAGGGTTTGGAGCTGCTTTATACAGTGTTTGATATAACAGTGATGTTTGTTGATGCATTCAGACCTTCATAAGCACATGTGATGAATTTGAATGTCAGTGCAGAGTGACAGGGCCCAGTGCTGTCCCTTTTGGTCTCCCCTGTTGTGCCAGCTGGGGTCACACCTCAGGGATGGCCCTGGAACGAGCTCAAGCCCACATGGCATCAGTGCCCCACCTGAAGAAGGCTCACCCATTAACTTCCAACTGCCTCTTTTAACTTCAGTTACTCTTTCTAATTCGTTGGGTTTTTTTTTTCAATGTTATTGGACAGTATTATGTTTAATTTTAAGGGTTTGATAGCATACCATTAAAGAAGAAGGCAACTTAAGGTAGAAAAATTATGATGGTAAATTATATTTGTGACAATTCCAATTCTCCTCGTGGGACCTACAGAAAATCCCACTGAAACCAGCACAAGTAACCCCATCAGTTTTCCTGGCACTTGATCTTATGCCAACTTTAATAAAGAACAGCCTGTGCACTGGTGAGCTGCGTTTATGGGTAGGCTTTCCCAGAGCCGTGCAGCGCAGGCACTGACCTACGCAGCCCAGCGCCGGGCAAACACAACGCTGTGCTCAGGTGCTGCGTCAGAGCACGGGCAACGCAGCAGTGTGCACTTCATACCATAGCATTCCTCATGACTGAGGAAGGTTAATTTCAGATTGTTGTCAGGCAGTATATTAAGATGCATATGGAAAACCTCTTTTTTTCCTCTTACGTTCGCACGTTGCTGATCATAAGCTCTGAAGTTAGGTTGTGATTCCATAGACTACTTCTGTGCATTATTAAGTAAAAATTGCCATAATCAATCTCAAAAATTCCATCAAAACATAAGAGCTGTGATTTCATAATAAATCTTTCTGTTGCTGCCACTTGATTGTAACAGTGCCATCTGAACTTTATGTGGAGGGTTAAAAAAATAACGAGATGCACATGCAACACAGGTGAAAATTTATGGAGGTTTCAAAACCATCATTCTAGAATTCTAGCATATCTGTCCCAAAAAACCCTTCAGTTCCACATCAAGGCTTTAAGGACTCTCTGCTGGCTAGAGAAAGAACCTGCAGCCAAGATGGATATTCAGAGTTGCTCAGTGTTTTTAAATTGTGAACAAAATTACTAGCTTTCCCTCATTGTATCTTAGAATGCGTATTTTTATTTTTAAAATAGTCACACCATATGTGTAGCAGAGACATTACTACATTGGATATAAGAAATGCCAGTTTATTTGCATAAGATCTCCTCCTTAATGATTGCTATATGTGAAAATTAGGACAGCACTTACTTTTGCATAAGCTAGAAAAGGTGTGCCTGTGCTACAGATTGACTGAATAGTGAACCCAGCAGGAAAAATGCCCGAAGCACACTTTATTTCTGCTGGAAAACAAATAGATGCTCCCCTGCTACGAGTTTCCTTTCTCCAGTAATGTTATAATGCATAAAAACTTTACTATTTTAACCCTGCCATAAAAAGTTATCTTTGAGCGGACAAGGTCTGTGAAGCTAAGTCCTCTTGCTCTGCAGTGACATACACATAGCTGTTTGTAGAGCATACTTGAATTATAAGAGCACAGCCTCTGCCCATTTTCCATCCCTCTTTTCCATTGTCTTCAAAATAGGAATGCAGCAGAAGTTAGGGGAATATTTGTACCATTTATTTTATTGCTAAGCATGGTTTTTGTTTTCCTGTGTCAGCTATACTCAAAGCAACACAACTTAGGATTCTGAGTATAATTTAAAATTCAGATTTGCTAAGAAGTATTATGGTGAGAACCTCAAAAATGTCAAGAAAATGACTCAATTTAAATGTAAGATTTAAAGTCGGAGCCCACTATTCCTCAGATTTCCTGTATTGATTTTAGTTCTACCAGAAAAATGTATTCATGCTATTTTGGTTCTTATCTCTGATACAAAAATGGAAAAACTAGTTCTGGGGGTGGGAGAAAAAAATGAAAAATGTGGATAAGCTCTAAGAACCTTAACAGTGCTACTGAATTTTGGGTTAAGCCCGCTTCAGATTGGGAGCTACCATGCAGGTCACTATTCCATTTACAGTAATTGTCTGCTCCCTGAAAGGAAGTGGTTTTCTGGTGCCAGAAATTGCACTCCTTCAGAAATTGAGCGTGTGTGGGTTCGGCTCCTGGCAAGGACAATTTTTGGCATTCAGATAGTGTGGTGCCCTAGAAATA